ACACTATTATGCCTGTAGTATGGATTCTATATAAAAATAAGCCTTTATAATCAGAGATTAATTTACAATGTTTATTTTCTATCACAGCAAATGTTATAGCCCTATGCATCAATTTTGTTCTCTCTTCCTATGTAATTTTTCAGACGACATTCTCAATTGAGGCGGGCAGACGCTGTGATTCTGGTCCTGGCACCTTTATATTTGAGACCAAGCAAGGTGATGAGATAATCCATCTCATGGAACTGGCCATCCAGCAGCAGAAGAGCCTGGCTGTTACTGGAGGTAGCGCCGCTGTCCTCTCACCTTGTTCGCCATTGCCTAAACGACCAGGTAGTGCCAACTTGCTGGACATTCACAACAACACCTATTCTGACTCCAGCTTAAGTCCTGTGTATGCAAGCCCTGTATATCCAATAGGCTCCGCTGAATCAGAATGCATCAAACCTGTTACCGGCTCTCCCCAAACAACACAGAGGCATCCTGGTGAACCCATTTCCTTGCCTGAAATTGTATACTCAAATCCTGTTGATGCTGTTTGGTTAGACAAGTGTACACATACACAACCAGTCAGCTCAGAAGTGACTGTGAAAAACAGTAGTCCTGGTCATTGCTATAATCAGGACTTAGAACCAGTGTATTCTGATCCTGTTGATGTTTTCCAGCCTACATTTAATCCCCAAAAATATGCCTCTGCCAATCTTGCTAAAACAACAGAAACACTTCATTATGTCAGTCAGTCAGAGCCAGTGTACTCTGAGATATCTCATTTCACACCATACCCAGCACAGAAACAGGGAAGCATGGTTCAGAATGAGGAAGAACCTATCTACAGTTTACCCGAGGTTTGTGCAGTTCACAAAACACAGGAGGACATTCACACCAGCACTGCAAAAGACAGTAAGCAGAATACACAATGCAACATGACGGAGGAAGTCATCTACAGTCAAGTCAACAAACCCAAGAAATCCACAAAGCCTCAAGACAAGTATACCGTTTACAGAGCACGAGAGATTATGTCTGAAGACCTTGGACTGATTTAAAAGAGCAATGGCATTTCTACTGATTTTGATAGACATTCATAAAGATTATGTAATAATCATATAAATAAAAGTTCCTATATTGCTACACTCTCAGTGTGTCCATCATACAAGTCCCTGTGTAAGTTGTTAATATAATGTATTAGAATGAGAGCATTAGTATAAGCCTGTGATTTGCACTGCAGCTGGAACTACTATCAGAGCTGCTATTGTGGAAAAGAAATGAGCACTTTCTGACCAGTCAGATTTGAGAACTGAAATGTAGTGATTGAAGTGTATTGTTTTATTTGTTATTACTATTATTAATAAATTATAGCTGTTGCTGTTTTTTTGTTTTGTTTTGGGTTTTTTTTTCTTTTTAACCACAGTCATTGTTGATATCCATGAAAACAGTTCAAAACATTTTTCTTTAGTATTCTGTTTCCAAGATGATTCAAGCATATTTTCCATCAGAGCAGCATGTTGATGCATGAGGTTTACATAAGCATGTAGGTGTATTTACCATAGGGCATAAAGCATTTTTCTGTACTCAATTTGTCAAGCTGAAACAATAAAAAACACATCAGTAAAAATCCTTCAGTACGCTATTATGTTGCACTAATAGCCTAAAATAAATCACAAACAATATAATATTTTCTGTGCAAAACTTTAAAGGCCAGAGCTAAAGTAAATATGTTAATAAATAATGAAAAGGTAGATTTTATATCTGTATTTGGCATCTGACTCTAATATCTTGCTACATCTTCCTCGCATGCCCACACATCACTAGGGACTGTAGCTCACTTAAGAGTTGGTGAATATTCAATAGCAAAATCCCATGACAAAAAACTACAGGCTAGGCTAATTATCATGAGCAATCCCAAAATTAGATATCAAGAAATACAACTGTTATTTTTGCTTAGTTAGTCATTTGTGTATGTAACATTGTCCAAATAAGTGTCCTTATTGTCCAAAAGCATGTGGACACCTGACCATCACACCCATATGTGGACCTTCCCCAAACTGTTTCCACAAAGTTGGAAGCACATAATTGTATAAGATGCCTGTGTATGCTGTAGCATTACAGTTTCCCTGAAACTAAGCAGCCCAGACCTGCTCCAGCATGACAGTACCCCTGTGCATGAAGACATGGTTTGCCAAAGTTGGAGGGAAAGAACTTGAGTGGCACAGAGCTCTGACCTCAACTCCACTGAGAACCTTTGGGATGAACTGCACAATCTCACTAATGCCCTTGTGGCTGAATAAGCAAATACCCACAACCACATTCCAAAAACTAGTGGAAACCTTCCCAGATGAGTGGAGGTTATTATAACAGCAAAGGGAGACTAAATAGTGAATGGGATGTTCAACAAGCACATATGATGGTCAGGTGTCCACAAAATTTGGCCATACAGTCACAATTATTATTTACTATTGTGCTGGAATCTTGCAAATCTTCATTTTTAATTTCAGTGTTAACCCCCTGGGCTCAAATGTCATGCTCCTGTTGTATTTATTTAAGCAACATGTCCAGCATGTTCTTTCTAGCTTGTAAAAATGTGGACATTAAAGCTAAGTGTTCTTTCTGTCAGTCTAAGAGAATGTAACTTGTAGTTTATACTGTGTTCTCTAAGTGGCAACAGCTGCGTTCACAAGTGCCAGCTTCATTCTTAAATGAAAAGCACAAGGGAAAATATATTTTACACTCACACACACACACACACACACACACACACACATATATATATATATATATATATATATATATATATATATATATATATATATATATATATATATATATATATATATATATATATATATATATATATATATATATATATATATATATATATGAGTGAGGGGGGGGGGAATCTGCCATTTTTTCAGGTGGACGTTACAAATATGGATATCAACAATTATAGTAATAGTACTAATAATAGGGTAATAATAGCTTAGTGGTTAAGATGTTGGATTGGTAATCTAAAGGGTATGAGTTCAAATCCCAGCATTGCTATTTGAGTCAAGAATTTTCCTCATGGGATCAATCAAGTATATCTATCTATTATAGATGTAATCTAAATTTAGACCACTCTCTCTTTGGGTCCAGTTTAATTACAAAAATAAGCCAAATAAAAATCACTTCCAACACAATCACTTGATGTTATGCCCTGAAATTGCACATGTCAATTCACACATGTGACATCATGTGACAATAAGGGATCACATGTGAAAATGAAAATGTATGAATCATGTGATAATCCACAAAACCACAAGCTCTACATGCGAAAAATGTATATACGGAAAATTAATAAATGAATCATGGGGGGAGGGGGGCGGTTAATTTTAAAGTAATGCACTACATGTGAAAAAAATGTGTGATTTGTGAAGTGTCACTAAAAATCACGTGTAAATTTCACATGTGAACCATGTGATCATTCACATGTGAAGTTCATGTGGCTCTTCTGTAAGAGGAGGTAGAAGCAGGATTAGTTTCAATGGATTCATTGAAACTAATCCTGCTTCTACCTCATCAATATTAAATCCTTCAACATTTTATTTTAAATGTTCTGTTTGATAAAGTAATAAGCACACAATATCAATATTCATATATTGGGATCGATTAAAAACAGATGCCAGAGTGGTCCAACCACCAGTAGTGTCAGGTTTTTCCAAGAGAAATGGATTTATTTTGGGACGTTAATTAAAAAATGAAGAAAAATAAAAAATCTGTGGGCTTGATCTGCTATCTGCTCACGGCAGGTGCACTATAATGCAATTTTGGCTGAATGGTGTTCACTTTTATCTTATATTCATGAGAGCATTTTTTATTGCTGAAAATAAGCTGATTCAATTAGAAACATTGCTTGTGTTATCAAGCATTAAAGCAAATCATAATGGACACTGTTCTTTTTATATATGAATTAATGTCTGGCTATTATTCAATACTTTGGCCCACAGGAAACTGGAAAATTATTAATGTGGCTTTCTGGTGAAAATGAGTGGTAGACACTCCTGGTGTAAAGTGGCTTACATGGGTGTCTCATGAATACTGAAATTCAGGCAGTAGGAGAATGGACTCCAGCCCAGAATACAGCACACCAGAGATCCATTCTAGCTTTTCAAAGTTACTATAGGCTTTTTATTGGGAATTTTGCATATCACTGAATTGGAATTACACTGTTTTTCTGAGGCACACTTGCTCACAGCTACCTCCTCTTGGCAGTCAGAAGCAAACAAACATCTATAGCCTATATTTTTTGACTTTTCAGTTTACTTGCTCTCAGAAACAGTGCTCTCTGCGCCTAGTGTTCCCTGACCAGGATAAAGTGCTTACTGAAAATGAGTGAATGAATATAATGATTAATTATACATATAATCAGCTATAATGTATGTAATGATGAGGTTATGAATAGTGTTGATGTACACTTTCAGTGTTTATTTAAATTAAGGTATTAAATGTTAAATTAAATGTTACATTAGATTGAAGCAGATGTTTGACAACTAACAAGTAAAGATTAAGTAAAAACAAAAATACATTATTTAACATAATAAACAACATAGCCTGAAAAGAGAGCGAGAAAAAAAGACAAAGGATTCTCTTCCTGTTTCCCAAATGCAAATTCATCATTAATATTTGGGGATGTAGACTCAGGGCATTACACTGTAAAGTACTTCTCCATAAATTTAATAGTGTTTCTTTTTTGTTGTTGTTTTGTTAATAATAAGCATTATGGACTTTTTCAGTAACTCCATCTCTAGTAATAAATATATGTAAAATTTTGGTAAAATTTTAGCAAATTTTATGTTTGAATCCAGAAGTTAGGCTTTCAGTGTTTTTTTCCTTCCTGTAGTGTGACAGACATCACGAGGGTCTTCGACGTCACTACTACAGGGTAGCCGGAAGTCTCGTGACGTCACCGGCGAACGGCAACAAGACGACGGTGTTGCAACAATACGGTTACATTTTAGCAGCAAATCCCTGTTCGGGCTTTATTTTCACACTAAGAGGAATTCAAGCGAAACGGCTCCTTTTCGCGTACACTGAAAGAAACGACGGCTGTGTGTCGTTTCCGGTGGCTTTCATTATGTCGAATCGTCTGGCCTTTCAGACTCAGCTAGCCTCCATCATGGAGGTGCTGGCGAACGCAGCCGTGGCAGAAATCTGCAAACTGGTGGACGATGACTACGCGGTGATTAATCTGCAGATGTCTCAATGCCAGCGCGAAAACAAGGCGCTGAAGAGGAAACTCCATCTGATGGAGCTGCGAATGGCCCGAGGTTACGCCGAAAGGAGAATCCGCGAAAGCTCAGGAAATCGCTCCAATAGAGTCCAAGTGAGCGCAAATCTATCAGACAAATACAGAGCTCCTGTAGCTGGTACGTACCGCGATATCAGTCCGGAATAAACCACCAGCCTCCCTAAAGCTGATTCTTTTCCACTAATAATCATTCAGAAGTGTTTTCTTCCTCTTATACCACAGCGATTACATTTTTCTTCCTTCTTAACTAATGGATTTATTAATGGAGCTTTTTATCCGTTTGTAAACAGTAAATCCCTTACCAATCTCTCTTTTCTCTCTCTGTCTTAAAGTTAAAACGCAGCTTGTCACGTTGTCCTCAGTGCTGAAGACTTTCCAGTGCTTGGAAACTTACTGACTGTTACAAAGTGCTGGTTCTGGAGACTTGTTCTGTAACTGTTAAATAAATGTCTCCTTACACTAAGCATCACTATATTAACGATTATACGCTTTCTTTGTTAAATAACACATTTACAATTCGTTTTTATTAGCCTTGAGTTATGTTCTTCATACAAGTCCCTGTGATTGAGCTGTTACTACAGAAACCATAATGCACTATTATAAACCTGTGAATTGCCTTGAATTACTGCCACTTATAGAAATGTAATCAACACCTTCTAACCAGTCAGGTTGGAGATGTCAGAAGCGCTGTGGTATAAGAATTTGCAGTAGTTTGACACAGTTGTGGTCTTCCATGTAATTGCACAGTAGATGTCACATGTTCATTACATCCTGTTGCATTTTGCTTTTCTGTTCCAAGACATTTTTCCAAATCAAGATGAACTCTACGGGAGGCAGTTAAATGAGGATGTTTGGAGAGATGGAGAACCTTCCAGTGCAGACGTGCCGATTGGGCATCCAGTCATCAAACATGATGAGAATGGGGTAAGCAAGGGTTGCACGACCTGCACAAACCCGTGATTTAACTAATCTGTTCATTGTTTGATTTAGTGCTTGTGTCAAAGCAAGAAAACACCACAAAACTGTGGACGAAGCCCCGTGTGAATATATAACTACACTGCATTAAGTATGAAATAATGGTTTCTGCAACTCCATGTACCTCACTTGTACCCCTTAAATTTATTGTCATCTCTTACATATACATGAATATAGTGTAAATATTAAACTCCATAGAAGCATACAATACACTAGACTCAGACTACTACTAGACTGTGGGAACAGTGTAAACAATAAGAATGCAGGACAACAGGATTTTATGAACAGAACTATGTTTCCACCAGTGTAAAATGTAACCAGGGAGTTTAATTAGTTTCAGCATCTATGTGCATAACAGAAATATTGTTATAGTTTGTCTGTGCACGGGGCAACAATTCAGATACATGCTTTTTTTTTTTGGAGCAGCATGGATTGGTTTCTGATTAGCTATCGACATTGTGTCAGTGACATGTAATCTGTTTATTTTATAGGGGAAGTAATAGGGGTTCAAAATACTTTGAATTTTGATTTTCATGCTCAAACACTTACTAACTTAGTCATGAACTGAGGAGTTGAATCAGGTTTGTTTTAACAAAGAAATCACCAAAAATTTATTGGGCTCTAGAGATATGATTCATGTCAACATCAGCTGATTAGAGAAATAACTCTTATGTCCATGATCTGCTATGAATCCCTGTAGTTCAGCTTCTGGTGTTTTCTCTCAAAAGCATGAAGACTCCAGCCAGGCTGGACCAAAAGCAGTACTTGTTAAGGCTGAGACATCTGATGAGGGCCACACACAGCAGCAACTATTCATTCGAGAAGATGGTGAGTAGATGGATTAAAGATTTTATTGGCATTTATGAATATTAATTATTATTCTTATATATTTAGAAATGAAATTTAGAGCTTTCTGTGGTTTTAAAAAAAAAGAAAACCAACCATGTTTAAAAGGAATAAAGCCATAAAGAAAATAGAAATAAAACATTACATCATAAATATTAAAAACTGTTACATAGAAGCATGTATGGTTATAACCTATTGTGTCTATATTTGCATCTATCTCCCACTGTTTCTCAGGAGTGGCAGAACCTGTGTGTGAGGGTGTGGAGGCAGATTATGGTGCTGCTCATGTGGATAAAGTGGATGGTCAGAACTCCAGGACGCGGCACGAGGCTTTGGAGGTCAGTGGATCTGACAAAGTGCTTAAATCTGAGCCACAGTTTGAGAACGCTGAGGGGTTATCCCAGGAGCCCTTGGGAGGACAGGGACAGGCAGAGTTTGGTGTAAGTGGGGAATGCGCTCCTTTGGGGGAGCTATTTATGCAAGGGGGTGATGATGTGGACCCGTCTTGTTCGTACATGATGAGTGACAGTAAAACTGAGAGCCAACCTGAGCATCTCCCACAGAAACCAGAGATCATAGAGGTTGAGTCTGCAGAGGAAGGAGATGACATCACTGTTTGGGACAGCAATAAGAAATCAACAATACACCAGACTTTGCAAAAGTACCCCACCACAAGAGCAGAGCATCTTAATAATTTTAGCATTCCTTCATCCAGCCTATCACGGTTGACCAGTGACTTTCCAGTGGTGGCATCAACATCTTCAGTTATACCAGATGTGGACAGTTGGCAACATGCCAAAGGCGCCAGTCTATACCAGCCAAGAATTGGACAGCCAAGACAAGAGCGAGCTCACAACGAGAAACTCTTTACTTGCAAATATTGTGGAAAAGCTTTCAACCGCCCCAAGAAGGTGGAGATCCACCAACGAATCCA